CGTCAACAAAAAAAAAAAAAAAAGGTGCACTAGACATTGATAATGTAAAGTAAGAGAAAATAATGTGATAAATATACATACATACATACGTACCAAATACATACACATACATAAATACTTACCTAGTAACTTACATATATAAACCTACATATTAATAATATATAAAACTTTAAGGTTGTAATGAGTCTGCTACGGTGTCCAGAATGCGAGCTTGAACTTACGTGACTACGCATGGCTAAAAAAGGAGAATTTTGCTTAAATTTTGATTGTATTTATCTTATAACTTACTGAGACCCACGGTGTTTCCCGCGTTTGTTGTTATAACCGCGGGCAACGCCGCGGGGCGAAGCTAGTTTAAAAAAGTAGCCTATGTTACTCCTTATGTCATCAGCTATCTGCCAGTGAAAGTCCCGTCGAAATCGGTAGAGCCGTTCGAGAGATTACCCGGAACAAACAGACAGACAGACAGACAAAAATTGTAAAAAAAAAATATATTGGCATATGTACCGTGTAAACATACATATGCATTTAGTAAAAAGCGGTTATTTTAATATTACAAACAGACACTCCAATTTTATTTATTTGTATAGATATGACAAAATCACAGTAGTAATATATCGCACGTGAAATCGCAGTGACTAAACTGTACATTTAATCATATGAATATGATTTATCAGTAACAATAATATCCATCACTAATACCTAACTATATATAATTTTAGAGCCCACAATATAAGGTATACTTAGTTTATGTCTAAATATTCCAGAGAACTATCAGATTACTTGCGCACATATAACAGGTTTCTTGGAACCCAATGCTGGCGCTTCACGATACTTATCTGTTCAAATGTTTGTTACTAGTTATAGCCGCGGTTCCGCCCGCGTGTATGTCGGTTATTTTGATAAAAAGCCTATGTCCTTCCTCAAGAATTAAAGTATCTTAATACAAAATTTCATATAAAGCGGTTCACGCGGTTGTATTCGTATTCAACATACAACGTCCGTGTGGTGACGGCTTTAGAATCACCACCCCTATTCATCCCGTGGGTGTCGTAAGAGCCGACTAAGGGAACAAACTGCACAGAACAACAGCACTGCAAAAAGAAAGAAGACTTGTAACAAACCCTATACCAACCCGTCTGGCCAGCGTGGTATAGTAGGCCAAAACCTCTTTCCTAAGGAGAGGCCTATGTCCAGCAGTGGACTATTGATGAAGTATGAGCAAATTAAAATCCACAGTGAAGCATAAGCTGTGTCAGAAGGCCTATTATTTTGTTCTTTGTTTGTTTGTTTGTTTAAAAAAGACAACTCCCGCATTAGGAAAATATCCTGTGTCGCGGGGGACTATACAAACATACATGAAATGGACACAAAGAACACCCAGACTCAGAACAACAATTTGTGGATCACACAAAGTGTCGTCCCATGTGGGGATCGGACCCATAACACTCGGCGTAGTAGGAAGCGGCGTGGCGACCGCTTAAACTACTGCGCCATCCGTGCAGTCAATTATTTATTTATTTATTAATAACTTTAAGCAGATTTGTACATCGGCGGACTTAATGCCCAAGGCATTCTCTGCCAATCAACCTTTAGGTAGTGTAGAAATCGTGAGTGGTAGGCGCATATAGGTTATAATATCTATACTAATATTATAAAGCTGAAGAGTTTGTTTGTTTGTTTGTTTGAACGCGCTAATCTCAGGAACTAGTGGTCCGATTTGAAAAATTCTTTCAGTGTTAGATAGCCCATTTATCGAGGAAGGCTATATATCATCACGCTAAGAGCAATAGGAGCGGAGCACCAATGAAGAATGTTTCAAAAACGGAGAAAATTTATTACTATTGAGAGACGCAGACGAATTTGCGCGGGTCAGCTAGTAGGTTATAACACTAATCACTAAGATATACATACACTACATAACACAACACACGTAATTTTATACACAGGCAAATACACACAATTATAATATACCTCACACATCTCACACACGGCCGTCTGATCCCAAACTAGGCAGAGCCTGTACTATGGTAACCAGACTGCTGATAAACATACTTATATATTTTTAAATACATACATATTATAGATAAATTACAACCAGACACAGAACAAATGATCGTGCTCATCACACAATATTTGTCCTGGGTGGGAATCGAACCCACGACCTCCGGCTTAGCAGTCAGGATCACTAACCACTAGACCAACAGGCCCGTCTTATTAGTCAGTATTATTCGCTTGTGGATTTATAGAAGACAAGAATGCTTGGGATAAATTAAGCACAGGCTATTTCTTAAGTGGAACTCTTATGTGGGCTAGTGCTTTCTATTTATTTTTCCCATTTTTTATGTTGGAACGGACAAGCCACATATTTTGACTAAGATGAATCTGTGAAGTTAGGTCTTGTGGAGTTATTAACTTGGCTCTACATGAGACCTGATAATTTTTTGACAGTTAAGTTGATAAAAAAACAACATTTTTCATAAAAAATGGTTTTGTAGGGATTTTATTTCTTATTGTAAGTTGTCTATGTAAAATATTTCCTTTTTTAAGCTATTGCATAGCTTCTATCGAGGGCCTTGAGCGCGGGGACCGAATCCAGAAATTCCGTAACGAAAAAAAACCTCACGCTAAAAACAAAACAAAAAACAGTACCAAAATCAAATGCTGAACGTCAAAGGAAATTTCGTCAACATAATGCAGAAAAATCTTACATTTATATGTAATTTGATTTAATAATAATATTTTTTATTTATTTATTTAAAAACAAATTGTAATATATGCTTCAATATTTTTATTTAATAAAAGAAAAAAAATTGTTTTCTTATCGGTCACCACGCTCAAAAAGTGTAACTTGAATTAATATCAAAGAAAAAGAAATACTGCATAAATAAAATAAATAAATAATTATAATTGCATAATTTGATACAAAATGCTATGCAATAGCTTTACCGCGGCAGTCCCCGAGTGCCACACGTCTTTTTTGTATTTCATGAACATTAAGAGTGCCTTTATTCATAGCAAACACTTTGCCTTTTTATTAATTTTCAGACCTAACGTCTTTAACGTTATTGTTATTTCTCACAGTTTATTAAATCCTCCTTATCATGAGAACTGTTAAATAAATTATTCTTACGCTATAACTGAAACAAAAACCTATTTTCTCACATTTAGTACAGTATCGCCATCTATGCCAAGTTAGAAGAACTGAAGATAATGCATTAGCTTTTGAACTTTTAGGTTACTACGTAGTACAACAGTAATTCAAGAGATGGCGCTGTAAGCAATAAAATTAATACCAATGGAAAAGTGCGCCATCTTTTTCGGAGTGAATTGGCAGAACAGTGACAACACTGACAACGCTAGTACCAGACTTAAAATGTATGTACGTATACTTATGTGTGTGTTTATATATTGTGTATGTTTCTGGACCTAACTTATGTTAAATTTCATATTTTATTTTGCACCTACCGCATCATATTTCTACATCACCTGAAGGTTGACTGGGAGAGAATGCCTAATGGCATTAAGTCCGCCCTTATACAACATATGCATTACCCTTTCGGGATAAACCGCTTTCGAACAAAAAGAGATTTTTTTAAATCCGTCCATATATGAGGGTTATGCCCATAATATACCTACATAAAAAAATATAATCATCCGAATTGATAACCTCCTCCTTTTTGAAGTCGGTTAATAATATAACCCGTCTCCTGCGCAGTAGAATAAAAAAGACAGATGTATAGAAAATAGCGAGTCATCTTCACCACTAAACAGCCTATAATAGTCCACTCCTGGACATAGGACAAAGGAGGTTTTGGCCTACTATACCACGCTGGCCAGACGGGTTGGTATAGGGTTTGTTTCAGGTTTTCCTTCTCTCTGCAGTGCTGTTGTCCTGCGTAGTTTGCTCCCTTAGTCGGCTCTAACAACCCCACGTGATGAATATGGGTTGTGACACTCTGTATTCTCAATCTGTCACCACACGTATATAACGCGGTTCATAAGAGCAGGTCAGATATGAACTGTGATTATTTTAAAACCAGTTTTCACGCTATATGAAGGTGAAATACACCTGTATCAATTAACAAAGGACTGTTTACAATTCTCATAAACAATGCGTAGTTGATAGACGAAAAAAAAAACGATTTCTGCAAAGTTTTGTGCTAAGCAACTCGCGTGTACAGAGTAAAGGGAAGAACATATATTTTTTAATACATTTCTTGCAAAGTGAGTCTATTTTGTTTTGATATTTTGATAATAACAATAATAATTCGAAAATTTGTGACTGGAGACTGCATTCCACTAAATTTTATGACCATTATTTTACTGTCGAAGCTGGACGCTTGTGGATCGCATTGTCGATTAAAAAAATATTTGTTTTGAAAATATGGCTTCCGAATTTCATTTTAAATAATTAAATATGTTTAATATTTTAAATACTACTGTGATTTGTTCATATCACAAGATAAATTCCATCAAAATTATCTCTGGCAGAAGCTGGATGCAAGAAACCCAAAATCGATCTAAGTGGCGTGCAATGGGAGAGGCCTATGTCCAGCAGTGGACTGCGAAAGGTTGATGATGATGATGATGATATATATTCCATTTTAATATGTGTGTCTGTTACTTCTTCACGTTTCAACTGCTGAACCGATTTAGATCTGGTACTGAGATAGTTTGAATTCCGGAAAAGGACATAGGATAGTTTTTATCCCAAAAATCATTCTTTAAGGGGGTGAGAAGGGAAACTTTGTATGGGTAATCAATAACCACTGTACCAATTTAGATGAAATTGGTATGGAGATACTTTGGTTCTTCAGGATGTCCTTCCTGAAGAACCAAAGTATCTCCATAGGTAAGATACGTGTACCGCAATACCCAAAAGCTAGTTAAGAAGTATGTAAATATGTACAATCTTTGACCAATAAACCAACAGAGCCATATAAAATTAAAAACTTTTTTCACAGCCAAAATGAAAAATATTTAAAGGACAAAATAAAATGTTTTACCGAATGGTACTCTTGATGCCAGTTCTGCTTCCTACGCTGGTGATAAAAACCGCGTGCGATAACGATACAGACGGAGATGTGATCGTTAGATATGCTGGACACGCAGAAGCGGATGAGAACCGTGATCAGAAAATATTTGTGGAGAATAAACCATCAGAAGCTGTTACGGACGGAAAAGCCTTGGAGACAAAGACCGAGGTAAGTAGTCTACATAATATTTGCACGTATAAAGAACGATTGCTGCACGGATGACGTAGTGGTTTCAGCGGCCACCTCGCTACTACATATTGCTGTTGATGTACGAGTGTTGTGGATTAAATGCCCACATGGCACAACACTTTGTGTGATCCACATATTGTTGTTCCAAGTCTGGGTGCTCTTTGTGAATACTGCATGGATGACGTAGTGGTTTCAGCGGCCACCTCGCCACATCATACTGCTGTTGCTGTACGAGTGTTGTGGATTAAATGCCCACATGGCACAACACTTTGTGTGATCAACATATTGTTGTTCCAAGTCTGGGTGTTCTTTGTGACCGTTTGAATTTGTTAGTTTTTACTCGGGTTAAATTCCTACTTAATTTTAAAAATGCGAAAGTATTACTGTCCTTCTGTTTGTTACACTTTCACGGCTAAAACGTTACTGAATTAAATTCAAATCGTGTAACCGTCTGGCCAGCGTGGAATAGTAGGCCAAAACCTCCTTTCTAAGGAGAGGCCTATGTCCAGCAGTGGACTAGTATAGGCTGTTGATGAATGAAATTTTGCATGGAGATACTTTGGTTCTTGTGGCTTTGTGAAGTCCCTACTCGATAGCTTTGTTTCTTTTTTATTAGCAATTAAAAAAGGCATCTAAGTAAAACACTTGGGCTATTGAGATGGATAAAAAAAATACCTTTAACTGTCGAAATCCATTCAGCCACTTGGAAGATACGAGGTAATGAAGAAATTTGTATAAAAACATAACCTCACCTTAGCAAAATTAAGATCGCCCTTTTGTTACTTTTAAGTATGTACTCGTATATGTCACCGGAAAATAACAAGTACCGCAAATGTATATTTCCTAGGAAATTTATAAACCTTCGTAGGATTCTAAACGAGAGAAGAAAACCTAACCTAACCGGGTTGGGGGGTAATGATAGAGCCGATCAGCTCGCCAAGGAGGCGGCTCTGGGACTGAAGTAAGCATCGGACTAGAGTTCGGTCAGTTTATCAATTTGCGAAAATGAGGGCGTAAAATAATACAATTTATATCTCGTTTAGAATCCTACGAAGGTTTATAAACTTCCTAAGAAATTTATAAATTTGCGGTTCTTGTTATTTTCCGGTGATATATACATTTTTTTTCTGAAATAATTAGCTTGTTCCCAATTTTAATTTGGGACAGTGCAATTGCAGTCCCCCGTGACACATGATATCAATTAATAATGCGGAAGTTGTCTTTTTTAAAAGAAAAGAAAAAAAAAATGATTGCCCGAGAATTTGAAAAGCGCGTCATTAGTGGGTTCGATTCCCGGACCGGGCAAAACTTTAAAGGGTTTTTCTGAGAGGAAAAATAGCCCAAATTACTCCTTATATAGACAGCTACCTGGTAGTAAAATATTATCAAATCGGTCCAGAGGTTTAGAAGATTACCCAAACAAACAGACAGACAGACCAACAAAATTTAAACTGGTTTTTACGCATTGTGCAAATAACCGTGTGAGTATGAAAAAAACCTATTATTTTGACATTACAAACAGACACTTCAATTTAATTTATTTGTATAGAATAGAGTGCTCTGTCTCTGTCTGGCCATCGCAGTGGTGGCACTCAGGCGTTGGCTCCTTGCGGATCAGACACAGGTGATCCCCGAAACATCCTTTCCCAGTGATCACCTGCGTCAGTAGGAATCACTGGTACGATCACGAATATAATTCGAAATTCTTTGTTCCGGGTAATGTTTACTACCAGGTAGCTGTCTATATACGGAATAACTTAGGGTTTTCTCCTGTCAGAAAAACCCTTATAAGATGTTACCCGGTCCGGGAATCGAGCCCGACGCCTCATGGATTGCAGACGCGTACCGTACTACACCACTAAGATAGCGCTTTTCAAATTCCCCGCGAACAAAGTTAAAAGTAGAAAAATGCAGAAATTTTCAATGGAATCTTAGGCTAAGAAGGCACAATCATGTCCATATTTAATATTTTAAATTCGAAAGTGTGTCTGTCTCTCTGTTGCGGTATAAGCGAGAAGAACGCTTATACCGCTTAACTAATTTGGATGAAAATTGGTATAACGGTCGTTTGAGTCCCAGGAAAGGACATAGGATAGTATTTATCCCAGAAATCATCCTTTAATGGGGTGAATAGAAGAAAGAAAGAAAGAAAGAAAAATCGTTTATTTTGGCAATAATACATTTTGAACAATTGCAACTTGGATTACCAACGATGCCAAAAACGGATCCAATTCAGCCTTATGTCAGATGGAAGCCTGACGCTGGTTTTCAATTGGGCCCAAAATGATGCTATGCGTACAGCCTGTTGCGGATAATTAATAACACATGTAGTACACATTGTATACATACATCACAACATTAATAACATATAACAATAATATATAACATATAACAAGACAAATTACAGATATGCAGATCACAATAAAATACACTACGATATACACAATATCCAACAACGTTAATCTATAAATATCTAAAGTCCCCAAAGTCCAAAGTCCCTAAAGTCCCAGAAGGTGGCAGTTTGTATGGGAAAACAATAACCGCTGAACTCATTTAGATGAAATTTTGTACGGAGACAGTTTGATTCTTAAGGATAGGATACTTTTCACCGCGATATCCGACATGCACGCGGGCGGAGCCGCGGTCAAAAGATAATACTTAATATTATGAATGCGAAAGTGTGTCTGCCTGTTTGTATCTCTGTCTGTCTGTTACCTCTTCACGCCTAAACCGCTGATCCGATTGGGATGAAATTTGGTAAAGCCATAGTTTGAATCAAAGGACAGGACAGGATAGTTTTTATCCCAGAAATCGTCCTTTAAGGGGGTGAAAAGGGGAGGTGGAAGTTATTTTAGCGGAAGCGGTAACCAAACTGACCCGATTTTAATAAAATTTGGCATGGAGATACTTTGATTCTTGAGGAAGAACATAGGCTTCCATTCACCACGATAACCCACATACACGCGGGCGAAGCCAAGGGCAAAAGCTAGTCAATGTTATAAAAACTAAAATAAACGTTTTTGGCGCCATTTTTTTTCTGCAACTGCAACAACATTCTCCAATTTCTACACGATCCTGAGAATTAAAGAAAAAGTTTGCATTGTTAAGTCCGCCATTGCACATTCTGTACAAAATAATCTTATATATAAAATTCTCGTGTCACAATGTTATTTACCATACTCCTCCGAAACGGCTGGACCGATTTTAATGAAATTTTGTGTGCACATCGGGTAGGTCTGAGAATCGGCCAACGTCTATTTTTCATACCCCTAAATGTCATTATTTCCTAGAAATAATGTATATGGCAAAACAACGTTTGCCGGGTCAGCTATTATTTAAATATAATGTTTTTAAACAGCCATCAGTCGCAACAGTCCATGAAAGCCACCACTTAACCACATCTACAGAATCAACTACTCCAATAGAATATATGGATGAGACTGAAGGCGTGGTCTTCGTGCCGAACGACGCACCAACAGTAAGACTAGAAGACGAATATGCCCGTGATGGTTTGGGAATACACGAAGTCATAGGGAAGAAAACGGTCTACGATGTGATGGATGGAGGAGTTCATGTTGAAACAGGTAAGGTCTAGTTACCATAGTTCTAACTTAATGCTGTTAACGGGTCACCTGATGGAAAGCGACTACCGCCGCCCATGAAGGCATGTAACTCAGGAACCACAAGCGCGTTGTCCGCCTTTGAAGAAGGAGTACGCTCTTTTCTTGAAGGTTTGAAGGTCGTATCGGTCCGGAAATGCCGCAGACCATATCTTGTTCCACGATTGGTTGTGTGAGGCAAAAAGTGTTTTGAAAAGAGCACAGTAGTGGAGTACCAATTATCCAAGTGGTAGGGATGATAACTTTGTCGTGTGGAACGATGGCGGAAAGTTGCAGCTGGTATTAGTCCGAAGTATTTCTCTGACCATTTTCCATGATTTACGCGATACAGGCCTCACAAAAAGCCGGTTTTAAGAAATTTTTGAAGGGAAAACTTCTATAAGCGCGTTGGGCATTTTGAACAACAAACAAAAGAATGTATTTTTTGAGATGGGAAAAAACCATTGAACTCGCGGCACTGTTACCGTTACCGACACCTCTGTATACTGTATATAAGTATCTATATATATTTTCCCCGTTTACACGCGAGTTGAGTCTGAGTTGAAATACATTGATAATATAACTATATATAATATAAACACATATTATGTATATACGTACAACATAGATATATATTCATAACGGAACTTTTGGAAATCGAAAAAGAAAAGTATAAAAATTTTCATTTCTGTCGTCACTCCCGGAGTGCCACTGTGTTTTTTGTGGTTTTCCAACGAGTTAGTGAGGTTACGGGAGACCGAACCGCTCCCTCCCAACCCTCCCGCTCCCCCCTTATTTTTGTAGAGGGAGGAGGTTCAAGGTCATCAACCTACTTCACATCATGTATTGCGCTCCTATACCATATAAAGCAATCAATAACCTCGCTTTCAAATTCTCTCTTACAGAATCTCCTCACGACCACGTAATCTTCGTACCAGGTAGCAACAACTATAACGTAGACCCCAAAGAAAAAGAAGAGAAAAGCGGAAGAAGAAATACTGACAAAGTCAAAGAAGAGAAAAGAGTAGTATATCCTCAGTATAAACTAGATTGTTCTAATTTGGACTGCAATAACAGCATGAAGTCGATATGTGGCGGTAAAATTGTCAATGGAAAATTACAATACAGACTGTTTTTAAACGACTGTTACTTCAGAAAAGTGAATTGTAATTTTAAGTACAAGCTGAACAGTGAGTATGGATTTTCAACCTCTTTTTCCTAACATCATCCTCGGACCCTGTACCCAAACTGCGTTGGGGTCGCCTTGCAATCTATTACAACACGCCTGAACTTCAATTTTTTGCGTGAACTACTTGCACAAGTATTAGGCGATTTGGAAGTTCTGTAGATAGGCCTATTCATCCCGTGGGTGTCGTAAGGGAGCAAACTACGCAGGACAACAGCACTGCAGAGAGAAGGAAAACTTGACACAAACCCTATACCAACCCGTCTGGCCAGTGTGGTATAGTAGGCCAAAACCTCCTTTCTAAGGAGAGGCCTATGTCCAGCATTGGGCTCTTAAAGGCTGTTGATGTGATTGATGATGTGATGTAGATAGACTGATGATGGACTTTTTAGGGTTCCAACTACCCATAACGTTTGCCATAGATGTTCGTGTGGCAACCGAGATGATGACTGATGATAATGATGATCCGATGCACGCGAGGAATTAATGATTGTGTTCATCACACAATATTTGGTCTGGGTGTAAATTGAACCCACTACTACTGATTTATAGTTAAACCGCCGTAAGCTTGGCCCTCCTGATGATTTGCGGGACGCGGGGCGGGTGATGCGCTCGGCTATACATGACACGATGTACTAACTCGATATCTTCAGATTTATTTGTTTGAGATTTAATCTACACACGATGTAATAAAAATCGAATTTATTTCCATGTATTATAAAGTCAGTGTATTGTAAGTTTTTATGATTAATTGTAAAATTTAATACGGTAAAATAATTTTAATAAAAACACCTTATCTTCATCATGTAAATTATATTCAGATACAATTTAAAAATTAAGTAAAATAATAAATATTCTTTATTAGAACTTTAACAGTAGAAGCTCTGTAAGCCGAACTTCAAGTTTGTAAATCTTTTTGTGACGCAGAGTCGGCAGATAATTCATGTTGCAAAATAATACCATGTGTAGCAGTCTTAAGAAAAATAACACGTACAGCCATGCTTTCACGTCAGTCACTGCCGGCGGACAGCGACGCACTAGCTAATTGGTTGAATGCACCCCCGCCCCGCGTCCCCCAAACCATCAGGAGGGCCAAGCTTACGGCGGTTTAACTATAACTGCCATAACGCGAACCACTAAATACATTTAATTCTTTTCCAGGGTACACGATAGTACCTTTAGATAAATGCATCAAGTATGGTGCCCGTGGTGAAAGACCTTTTACCTTCTCCAGAAGAATTATGGATACGCCGACAAAACCAAAAGAAGATATAGCTTTGCCCAAAAGCTTTTCTTCTAGAAGGTACTAAGCATAATCGAGAAATAAGCTTTAACTTTTTTTATGTATTTATACGTATGTGTGTGTATATGTATATATATCTTATTTATAACATTTTGGATATCATATATATGAAATTCTCGTGTCACAATGTTCGTTCCCGTACTCTTCCGAAACGGCTTGACCGATTCTCATGAAATTTTGTGTGCACATCGGGTAGGTCTGAGAATCGGCCAACATCTATTTTTCATACCCCTAAATGGTAAGGGTGACCCATCCCTAATTTTTTTTTGTTTTGCAATACAACGTTTGCCGGTTCAGCTAGTATTATAAAATATTTTGACAGCACGGATGGCGTAATGGATAAGCGGTCGCCACGCCGCTTCCTACTGCGCCGAGTGTTGTGGGCTCAAACCCCACATGGGACGACACTTTGTGTGATCCACAAATTGTTGTTCTGAGTCTGGGTGTTCTTTGTGTCCTTTTCATGTATGTTTGTAAAGTCCCCCGCCACACAGGATACATTCCCAATCCGGGTGTTGTCTTTTCTTAAAAAATAAAACACTAATTATTATCTATTTTATATCCATTATACTTAAAAACTCATTACACCGTCATCTACTACTCTCTTACTTACTACTCTTACGAGATTACTCTTAGCAATATGGCCGCTCTTTGTCCATAACATATCTGTCATTTTTATATACCATATATATACCATATATATATACTATACCAAATAAAGAGTTTTCTATCTATCCATCTATCTAACTTTCATACTGTAGAGAGCATATGACTCAGCTCCACTGGAGTGATACCAGGGCTACATAAAACTTTTGTCGGGGCACCAGGGACTTCCTTTCTAGGGTATACCTGGTTCCCCGGCTATTAGTACCCGAGACGGCGTGCGGTTATAGTCGGTTCGAGTCCGACATGCCACCATGGTGGTATCTGAGGGGATTTCCGCACGGAAGAAAAAAAAAAAAAAAAAAGGGCTACATAAAACTGGGGTTAGTAATTCTTTTCTTGCTTATTGAGAGGTTACCGAAGGTCCTAACCACCTCTCACCCCCTAATACTAAGTGGGGTAAGACTCGAAGATCACACAACACCCACGGGATGAATAGGGGTGGTTTACTGTCTTATACTTTTACGAAAAAGAGACATCCTATATCCTATATATCCTCCATCCATCATCCATCCTATATATATATATCCAAAATTAAATTTGAAGAAAAATTAACCTAAGTTACTCCTTATATAGACAGCTACCTGTTAGTAAAATATTATCAAAATCGGTCCAGCCGTTTAGAAAATTACCCGAAACTAACGGGTAGACTGACAAAAAAAAATTGAAACTGGTTTTTAAACATAGGTATCGTGGAAATAATCGCGTGACATTACAAACAGACAATTTTATTTTATTTGTATACTGTTACCGATCCTTTCCTCACCAACCTACGCTTAACTTCAGGTCGATGTCAATGAATGTGTATGGAAACTTCTGTTCTCATCCGTGCCCCGTCACCTGTCCTGATGATTACGAGCCGCAGTGTGCTATATCAGCGACCGGCCAGCGAAGAGTTTTCATGAACCATTGCAAATTAGATGATAATTCCTGTTTGTTTTCTGTTGGTAAGTATGATTTTTTTAGGACCTATTTTACGTGTGGAAACTCCCTTGGGCCTTCACCCCACCGGGGTTTGCGGCGGGGTGGTGTGTCGGAATCGGACCTACTAAAACCACACGGTGTGGGACTCTGCGCATGTAATAGAAGGAATCCGGGCACTGCTGTAATTAAGACATCCGGACCCCTCCTAGCGCATACCCGCAATGACGCTGGTACCACCTTTGGGTACATTCTCTATTTAGGTAACGTCCGGCACACGTGGACGTTGCCTCCTCGCGGCTGGCTGTAATGGATTTGGAGGAGAAAATCCGTCCCGTTCACCCCCGGCCACAATCAGGGCGGCATGAGGAGCGACCTGATTTATCCATAGATTAATGAGGCTTCAGCCAAGATTACAATAATAAAACCCTCACAAATCTCACTCACGGCCGTCTGACCGCAAACTTACTTATCTCCTAGAGCGTGCAAAGGGAAGATAGAGCGTTCTCTTGGTCCTTGACGGGCCTGTTGGCCTAGCGGTCAGTAACCCTGGCTGTTAAGCTGGAAAACGTGAGTTCGATTCCCATCAGTACATTTATAACCTACTTATATTAATAATGTGAAATGTTTGTTTTTTACTCTAAAGCACTTATCCGATTTTAAAAATTATTTCACGGATGGAAAGCTACATTATCAGCGAGTAACATAGGGTACTTTTTACGGCGATAGCCGATTTACACGCGGGCGGAGCCGCAGGCAAAAGCTAGTCTATAATATGTATGTAGAATAGAATAGAATGGAATGGAATGGAATGTAATGTAATGTAATGTAATGTAATGTAATGTAATGTAATGTAATGTAATGTAATGTAATGTAATGGAATGTAATGGAATGTAATGGAATGGAATGGAATGGAATGGAATGGAATGGAATAGAATAGAATGGAATGGAATGGAATGGAATGGAATGGAATGGAATGGAATGGAATGGAATGGAATGGAATGGAATGGAATGGAATGGAATTGAAAGGAATGGAATGGAATGAAATGGAATGGAATAGAATAATCTTTATTGTACCCCAATTCAAGATATTATACATACAATAGTATTCCAAGTTAATGACCATGTACAAATGGCGGCCTTATCGCTAAAAAGCAATTTCTTACAGGCAACCTTTGAATGGACATATAGACTGTAAATAGGTTATTTCATAGGCAGATTTCTTGAGAAAAAGTTTAAAGGAAACAAAATCAAAAATTTTTATGTATTTAGAAATGTATGTATATGTATTTAGAAATATTAAAGTATGTTTATCAGCAGTCTGGTTACCATAGTACAGGTTCTGCCTAGTTTGAGATCAGACGGCCGTGTGTGAGGTTATTATTATTATTATGATGTTAAATTTGTTTTTTCTCAGCTTTCGCTGGTAGTATTTTGTGTGTACATTTACGGACAAAGTCAAGTAAATGCCACGGGTTCTTGGGTGAATTTTATTATGTCTATTCGTCTATTGCATTGTGTATTTGTTCATCTATTTGCAGAAATTTTCTTACGATTCTGCAAGTGTTTAGTATAGCAGCTTTTTGAAGAATCATGTAGGTATTGGGTTATAGATCAATGAGTTTTAAACTAGAATGTATATGTTTCGGAATAATACCAGTCGTGGACAATACTATAGGGACAATTAATGTATACTTTTTGTTGTTTCCAGATTCTTAAAACTTCATCCTTAAGGTCTGCACATTTGTGTATTTTTTTATTATTATTTCTTTATTTCATTCTTTATACATATAAATTACATTTTTAAATATATTTATATACAAAAACAAAAAAAAAATACATTTAAAAATATAAAAAATAGTATCCCATCGGTATCGGGTACAGAGACCAAGATATCGGTGGTTAGGACTCCAGAGACAGAAACTTTCTCACAATACGTGCCGTATCGAGAAGAACTGCTTTATGCATCAGACCCTTAATCCAACTGCCTAACGCGAGCCTCTGAAGATGTTGGTCGAGGCTCTTAGCAACTAATCCATGGGCCGATATGACTATCGGTACAACGATTGCTGAATCAACATCCCACATGTCGACAATCTCGTGGGCTAAATCCAAATGTTTCACTTGTTTATCTTTTTCAGCTTTCAAGAGATTGTCGTCATGTGGAATGGTAATGTCAAAAATCATTGCTCGGCGCTCCAATTATTATTATTATTACTATTATTTTATTACAGTATGGCACATGAGACCACTGTCAGAATGTGTCGGAGGCAAGAAGGCGGACATGAGACAGAACAGATATTTCATCGGATGGATGCGTCAAGTTGGTATACTCGATAATAAAGGAAAATTAGTGTTGCAATAAAAATAATATTTACAAATCTGTTTTCTTTTATTTACTTGCAACATTTGAGTGTTTCCAAAAAGGTCAATGGCACTACATTTGTTGTTTTTTTTTAAACACGAGTTCTTTTTGTTAAAAATTACTACTTTAGTAGTTTTATTATTAAAATGGGAAAGGAGCAGACTGGTCACCTGATGTTAAATGATCACCGCCGCACATTGGCATTAAATATTTATAAATTGGCAACCCTGCCATGATGATACCATAAATTAGTTCCATTTTTAAAATTAATATTTGTTGTTAAAAAAGAAAAAATTGATGCGGTTCACTGTCTTTATGCGCCCAAGAAATATACATACATATCGTGTGATACATATGGAGTGTCACAACCCCTATTCATCCCGTGGGTGTCTTAAGAGCCGACTAAGGGAGCAAACTACGCAGGATAACATCACTGCAAAGAGAAGGAAAACTTGACACAAACCCTATACCAACCCGTCTAGCCAGCGTGGTATGGTAAGCCAAAACATCTTTTCTAAGGAGAGGCCTATGTCCAGCAGTAGACTATTGAAGGCTGTTGATGATGATGATACACATACAATCGAATAATGTAACCCTCTTTCTGTAGCAGTAGAGTAAAAAAAATCTATGTAAGTTATGCATCAAAACTCACAAAGTTTTTCTTACTTTGTGCTTAATTATTCCCCCTAAAGATGAATATTCATAAGCTATGAATGTTTCATGGTTTTAAGACGATTGTTCTTTTATCTTACGGCGGGAATTGGCTATTCATGAAAAATTCATGGGACTTTTTGATAATACAGTCGATTGTGTTGACAGCTGTTACCAGTTTTATGGGACTTTTTTTTGTACATGGCAATTTTGCAATGAAATTGTTTTCAAATAAAAAATTAAGAGAGTGCCATGTTTGGGCCCATAATATGGGCCGGCTCGACCACAGTGATACCACGGTCTTACAGAAAACCGGAGTTAATGAATGCTTTCGTTTCTTTTCACTGAGTGAGTGAGGTTAACAGTGGGCGAAATAACTCTTTACTGTAGAGGCGGCAACCTCCAGCGCCCAAGCCGTCTGCGGTACCTGGCCCGTTGCCGGGCCTGGCGGGCCGGGAGAGTTCTAAACCTCTCCCGATCCCACTCCGCCATCTCCTTCGCAAACATAACTTCGACGACGGCAGAGTTCCACACACTCTCGATCCATACTATGGCGGCAATCATACTACAGAGCGAGAGGACTCCCACTCCGATAGGAACCACGGGGTCTCGCCTCTACTCCTCTCACGCCGGGCATTCTGCCAACGTGTGGAGGGCCGTGTCCACGGTCCAGTCACCGCAGTGGTGGCACTCAAGCGTTGGCCTCTTGCGGATCAGACACAGGTGATCTCCGGAACAACCTTTTCCGCTGATCACCTGCGTCAGCCGGTATGAGAGGGTTCTGTGTCCATCCTCCATAACAGGTCTTACCGCCGCAATACCGGTGTGCCCGACACAGAGAACACCCAGACTTGGCACAATAATTTGTGGAACACAAAGTGTTGTCCCATGTGGGGACCAAAGACAATACACAGCGTAGTAGGAAGCGGCAAGGACATTACTTAAACTGACCTAACCGAAAGTTGTTATATTTAATGGTTCAATCGATTTTGTTATTTTAAATTATTATCTTAAGTCTCAAGTTCATTGCCGCCCGTTGAGTCTCCCACAAACAGAGGAAGGAGAGCTTCTGGGGTACGGAAACCTCATTCCCTCATTGAAAGCAAAACAAGAATTACTCAACACATGGTTTTCTGTGAGGCCGTGGTGTCACACTGGTCGAGCCGGCCCTTTTTTCGAATAGTATGGTTCTCCCATTATGAAATAATTTATTTGAAACATAAATAACTATTGCGATTTTTTTATTGGAAACTTGGAGCTGTTTTTGCCTCGATGGTGCAGTTTTAGTTTCTGCGACTGCTGTGTTTAAGTCTTGGCTTCGATTTCCGTGCCGACCAAAATATTTGTATGATCTGCAAATATTTGTTTCGGAGAACACCAAGTTTTCTATGTATGTATTTACCAAAGAAAAAGTATATAAGTATTCTATCGGTTAATCTAGTTTACATAGTACAAGCTCTGCTTAGTTTGAAACTACATGTCACTGTGTGTCAGATGTCCCAAATATCATCATTATTTTTAAAAGTATTTAGTTTAGAAAACCTTTTTTGAAACTACATTAACTTAAACTGTGAAACTAAAACGCTATGAAAATTTTATTACATATTTCTAGAACACCTTGTATTGTCTAGACACCAAGCGCAAGTCCGCCGAGCTTTTAGCTTAAAAGCCACCTAAAAGCCTTTCGGAGCCATTTAGTTTGAAACCAAAAATTATAGATAGAGCAAGACGACATACAATTTTATACAGCGTGTTGTAAACAACGGTATAGCGATATTTTACTACCATAACGTGGAAATACTGTTGTTTTATCTGTATAGAGATCGCGTGGCGGTGGAATTGTGAACGGTTTCGAATTTACCTGTTTGTTTTAATGACCAGTATTACTTGAGCTGTTATTGAATAGACTTATGTACCGTCAGAGGGGTTTTAAGTAGTCGTTGTTTGTAATTTTTAACTTTAAAGCATATCTATAAATCTTCTATACAAATAAATAAAATTAAAGTGTCTGTTTGTAATGTCATAATATATATGTGTTATAATTTATGTGTGTAATTGGTTTTCTTCATGCTCACACGGTTATTTGTACGATACCTATGCCTAAAAACCAGTTTAATTATTTTTGTCTGTCTGTCTGTTTGTTCCGGGTAATCTTCTAAACGACTGGACCGATTTTAATTTTATATTTTATTACCAGGTAGCTGTCTATATAAGGAGTAACTTAGGCTACTTTTTATCTCAGAAAAACCCAATAAAATTTTGCCCGGTCCGGGAATCGAACCTACTAAGGCAGGTTTTTCAAATTCTAGCTAGTTTTATTTAAAAATGTTAGTTTTGTGCAATTCTTCTTCATATTAACGTTAATTATTTTAAATATGATATGTTTTAGTGTCCGTCACAAATAAAAATATACACATTAGAGAGTGACTGAGGTTACCGGAGCCCAACCCCCCTCTGATTCTTGGGAGGGGGGACTAAAATGGCAGCAACGGACTTGTGACTAGAGGATTCGATCCCGGTCGATTTTTATAATCCCGGGATTTCGGGATTATCTACAGTTAATCTCGGGATCCCGGGATTGTATTGGCAATGGAAAGTGGTAACAAAAAGACAGTAAAACATATCAAAATATATTTTTTGTTTATCATTTAGTTTTGTGAGGACATAGAATATTTAAGTTTTAAATCTCCAAAAAGGCGGTTCACCAAAATTATACTTTGTTTTGTGTTGCGGTAAATAATTTATGAAACTAACAATAAACTTCAAAAAATCAACTTCTTTAGACTTATTTAGATAAAGTAACTAAACTCAACACTATATGCCAAGAGACCAATGTTTATAGATACCTACTCATATTTTTTAATTAAATTGCCCAGAAACTTTATAAATTATACACTTTTACGCATAATCCAGAACCGGTCATTAGCAAAAACAAATGAAATCAGCTGTGTAGACAAGATGGCTGTCAAAACATCAAATCAAGGCAAGTGCGTTTCTTTTTACGCACATTTTTATTGACTTATGTAAAAAATGTATCAATCCCGAAAATCCCGGGATTCATTAAATTTGATCCCGAAAATTTCGGGACTAAAATATGATCGGGATCGAATCCTCTACTTGTGACTCTTGAGGTGGTCACTTACCATCAGGAGAACCGAGCCCTTGACGTCACCCACAAATACACCATTGCGCCACATTTAGATTTCTCAACTGAACGATCGATATATCCACCCCTAGCTGTCAGGCTTAAAATACTATCCTTAGGGGGAAATCTCCAAATCCTTTGGATTACGGTACGTTGAAATTATGCAGTAATTACATTTTAATGTTTCGCTACCCCTGGGTTAATTAGAAGCAACGATGTAATGGCACGGGGTTCGGTGCCCAACTTGGGTAATTTTATTTTATGTACACATAAAAGGTTTAGCACTTGAGATTTAAATTTTGAAGTTATAATCAGTGTAGTGGCTTTATTTTATCTGAGCGTTTGATATTGGGATTCGATTCCCAGGTACATCAATATTAAGTATTATTGTGACTCCTTCCACATATAGCGAAACAATTATCATCATCATCAACAGCCTTTAATAGTCCACTGCTGGACATAAGCCTCTCCTGAGAAAGGAGGTTTTGGCCTACTATACCACGCTGGCCAGACGGGTTGGTATAGGGTTTGTGTCAAGTTTTCCTTCTCTCTGCAGTGATGTTGTCCTGCTTAGTTTTTTCCCTTAGTCGGCTCTTACGACACCCACGGGATGAATAGGGGTGGTGACACTCCGTATTCTTAATCCGTCACCACACGTCACCACACGGAAACAATTATAGCATCATTAAAAAAACCTTTTTTATGGAATAGGGGGCAACGAGTAGACGGGTCACCTGATGGAAAGCGACTACCGCCGCCCATGAAAGCCTGCAACTCAGGAGTCACAAGCGCGTTGCCAGAATTTAACTGCTCACTAAGACTGTTCTAATAAGCCCAAACGTGGTATATATGCTGAGGAGTTAGCTATCCTGCAGACTACTTGATGCAGCAGCAAATTCCAGGTTACAATGTCGTGGAAATACCATCAAAGTAACAGTATACCCAATTTCAAATCAATCTGGCCTGTGGATTTTAGTGAGATCCCTTCATCACCTAGGAAGTGAGCTGATGATGTTCAAAATTTAGCTAAGAACCATCTCGATCACATCGGTCTTCGAACAAAGAAGTCGTATCGAAATTGGTACCTCTGTTCGGGAGCTATGATGCCACAGACAGATACAAAGAATCGCAGGTTAAACTTATTAAACTTAAAACACCCCTCGTTTTTCGTCAGGAGTTTAAACATAATCCAGAGCCAATTAGA